GGGGACAGCTTGAGGCTCTGTCTCAAAAAAAAAAGAAAAGTAGTTTGTGTATTTACCTAGCACACACTCTGTATCTAAACATATTTACAAAAACCTGTTCAAAGGTTCTTGAGTCAAAAATTAGGAGTGAACGACTGTATTAACATGCCTTTTATATATATAATAAGGAAAGGTTCCTAATTTTGCAACAAGTACTCTCAGAGTATAAATCTAACCACTAGGGCTTTAACTACAAACAAATCTGGAAATTAATATCAGCATATGACTAATCTGTCACATCTGACCCGAGGGTCCTGGGATCTGGTCAGAAAAATGCTATTTACGTCTACCACACAACAGGGCTTACATTACAGAGTATAGCATTCAGTAATTAAAAGCTGTTACATGATAAAGATGCAGTCAAGAATCAAACAAAACTCAGGAAATGTGTCCCGGGAAATGTGACAGTTCAACAAAGAAATAAGGACATGGCTTTCTAGTGTCAAACAGAATGCGTGGAAATGGAAGCCAGAAGCAGCATTTTGAAGTCTCCATATCAAAACAAAGCATATACATATACATTCATGTGCTGCTTAATGATGGGGCCATGTCTTAGATGGGGTCATTTTGTCATTTTGCAAATATCATAGAGTATACTTATACAAACCTAGATGGTCTAGCCTACTATATACCCAGGGCTATATGGCATAGTCTATTGCTCCTAGGCTACAAATCCAGAGTGTACACCATGTTACTGTACTGAATACTGTAGATGATTATAACACAATGGCAAGTAATTGTATATCCAAACATATCTAAATGTAGAAAAGAGGACTGGGTGCAGGGGCTCATGCCTGCAGTCCCAGCAACGTGGGAGGCTGAGGCAGGAAGACTGCTTGAGCCTAAGAGTTCAAGACTGCAGTAAGCTATGATTGCACCACTGCACTCCAGTCAGGGCAACAGAGTGAGACATCATCCCTTAAAAAACAAACAGACAAAAAAAAAAAAAAAAACCCCCACTGGATTGTGAAGACTTAATACAAAAAAAAAAGAAAGAAAGAAAAGATACAGTAAAAATACAAGGTCAAAAATGGTATGCTTGGGCCAGGTACATGTGTTCACACTTGTAATCTTAGCATTTTGGGAGGCCAAAGTTGGAGGATCACTTGAGCTCAGGGAAACCAACCTAAGCAAAGCTAGATCCACCTCTACTAAAAATAGAAAAAATAAGCCGGGCATTATGCCAGGTGCCTATAGTTCCAGCTACTTGACAGGCTGAAGTAAGATTACTTGAATCTAGCAGTTTTAAGGTTGCTGTGAGCTAGGCTGACACCACGGCATTCCAGCCTAGAGCAAGAGAGTGAAACTCTGTCAGAAAAAAGAAAAAAGGTATGTTTGTATAACACAACTCCCCCATAACCCTATGGGATCACCATCGTATACGCAGTCTGGCAGTGACTGACACCATGATATGGTACATTACTATATATTTCTTCCCACTGCATTAACTCATGACAATTAGTCATTCTAATTACACTTGATAGTTATTAAAATCAAATATAAGAGTTAGCAATTACAGGAATGTGGGTGGATGGTGAATTAAAATATTTAATACATCTTAAACATGGTTTGCCTCATCCATTAAAATTTATCCTATTTTTCACCACTTCCTGATACATTTTTATTCTGTCTGTTATTTTGACATGACTCAAAACTAGACTTAGCCCTTTTGCTAAATTTAACAAGATAGCTACTATTCCAACATTGTTCAGTAGAAGCCAAAAAAAGTCCCCTGCTGATAAAAGACAAAAGCCTGACTCTATCTACTCAACACATGGAATATAGGGAAGGACCGTACTACCTGACATTGAGCCGTCCTTGCTCTTCATCCATCTCAGAAGGTGCCACAGACAAATGGTGAATGACAGACTGTGGCCCGGACTGACTGTGGCTGATGGCCAGGAAGATGTCTTCTGCAATCCAGGTGAGAAGGATGAGCTTCAGTGGGTTTACTTCTTGATCTTCACTATTCTCAAACTGGATTCTATTTTAAAATATTGAAGAATATCTAAGACATGAATAAAACTAAAAATCACTGAGATTTTCTGAAAGAAGGAATAAAGCTCCCTGTATACAATCAACTCCTAATTATTTGTAAGGGCAAAATCTGAGATAATACCAAATACAAGAAAATCCAAAAATAATGTATAACTGGCTTAAGAATATATCTTCATACTTTCTCTAAATTTCTAATATCCTGAAAGCTTTAGATTTTAAGAGAACACTTCAGGAAACTGACCACACAAGAAACTTCCCTGTGCTAGTTAATGACTCCCAGAGCCTATCTGATGTCCCTACTAATCAGTATGGGAACCAAACTAGCAGGTGTGTGGGTCTCAGTAGAAGGGGTCCTTTCCTAAGCACCTCACACCCAAATGACTAACTGTCTGTAGAGATGGTTTCCATGTCTCTAACACATTCCTTCAGTAGCATTTAACTCCCGAACAGGGCACTGTTTTTGTCACCTCCTGTAGGGACCTATGATGACAACTTCTTGCCTTTTAGATCAAGCAGCAAATCCTCACCTTGCACTGGATAAGCTGGTCACTAGCCTGACCTTCCTACTTACCCAGCTCACTCCAGACTCCAGCTCTCCACTGTGTTGTGCACACAGCATTCTCTCTACACAGGATCACCCCCACCTCTGGTTCTCATGACACTCCCCTCCCCACCAGACCCAAGGTTCCCAATTCTTCTTTGCCAATCTCAAACCTATCCCTTCCTCAAGCATCAAGAGAGGTATTCATGTACTTCATGAAATCTCTGAACAACTTATCCTCTTCTCAATTTTTATTAATGAAATGATATTCTAATCTACCTCACACATTCTAATTTCCCTTATAGCTCTATATTCTAGTAGTGTTTTCAAGTCTGGAAAATGAAATTATGAATGCAAATAGTCTTTAACATATTTAGAAAAAAATTTTTTTCCTTGATGTTTTATTAGGTCAGGATAGGTGTGTGAGCTATATATGCTTTGTGAAGCCCCAGGCTCAAAATCAGTGCAAGTTAAATACAATTAATATGGCAGTTAACATGCTAAGAACTACTAAGCATTATACAGGCTGCTCTCGAATCATACACAGGTTAGATACTTATACTGTATTTATTAAATATACACACAACATAGATTTAAAAATCGTATTTATTAAATTCTGTTATCTGTTATACTCAGTTAATTACTTCTATTAATTTAAGAATACAGAGTTTCAGTAGTTAAGAACATGGACTTAGGCTGGGCATGGTGGCTCACACCTGTAATCCTAGTGCTCTCGGAGGCCAACATGGGTGGATCACCTGGGCTCACGGGTTTGAGACCTAGTCTCTAAAAATAGCCGGGCATTGTGGCAGTTGCCTCTAGTTCCAGCTACATGGGAGGCTGAGGCAAGAGGACTGCTTGAGCCCAGGAGTTTGAGGTTGCTGTGAGTTATGACACCACAATGCTCTACCAAGGGTGACAGACTGACTCTGTCTCAAAAAAAAAAAGTAGACACAACAGCAGGCGCTGGTTTTTCAGCTCATTTGGGGACTTATCAAATAGAACAGAACGAATGCTGGATTTACCAAGTCTACAACCTTGGGCAAGTTACCTAACCCCTACACTTTGTTTTCTTATCTGTAAGTACTCAGTAAGTGGTACTTTTAGAAAACATTCTCTCATGGAGGAGGCATTATAACATTATAATCTGGCTTCTGGGTCATTTTGCAAACACCTAAAATGTACCAAACATATTCAGTTATACCCATTGTTTTTAATACTGTTTCAAAGGTGAAATGTGTTCTTATTTCCAATTTGGGAAGCTCAAAACATAGTACCCAGAAGTTCTAGAGTGTGGCATGAAGCAAAGACAGAGGCTACATGAAGTCAATCATATGAACAATCTACACACCCTCATTTATGGAAGAGAATGCAACTTCATCTTATCATCACCATAATCATCATCATCACCATCTTTCCCTTGTGCTTATCCCTGGAAAACACGGACTGCTGAGGGGAGTGGATCCTCCATCAATTTACAACTCATACTCCCTTCCTACCCATTAGAGTAGATGACACTGAGACAAATTAAGTGACTGGCTTCCCCTAATGAGCTGAAAAACCAGGGACTGCATGTTCTATCTACTTCCTTGTTCCACTCAGCAACAGGCACAGAATATAACAGGTGGCTGAATTTAGGACTAAATGCTGGCTGATTAGGTTCTCAGAGGTCCAAAATAATTAAGAACATACTTGTATCTCTTTTCCAGATGAGGTGTTCTAAGGGAAACTTTAAATCCATTTCCACCCACAGCTCCCAGTTTCACTGTAGGGTCCACACTTGGACTATCACCTAGAAAACAAAAATGCAAATACCATCACTGTGAACTATAAGTAATTCTCCTAATTCTAAGAGGAATAGAAATTGGGGTTCTGCGATTAATGAGTTCCACAGGCAAATAAAGCAAACCAGAAAATAACCACATCTCAACCTCCTTAAAAATCTCTGCCTTCCCTTAATACCACATAATCACAATCTTCACTGATAAAGGCCATAGCTCACCAAGATGAGGTGGTGGGGCTATCCCCTCACCCCAGTACCATTTCCTCCATTGTGTTCAACTATCTCTCAATAACCATGAATCTTCTTAAGTCTTAAGCATTTGCTTGAAAGACATTCTCTTTCATTCTTGATCTAGTTTATTCCCTGCATGGCAGCTAATACAAGCCAAGCCCAAATCTAGGCAGAAAAGAGCACTCCTTTGCTCCAAGCCATCTGGTGGCTCCCTATCTCACTCAAAGTAAAAGTCTTCAAATCCCTACACAAGCTATTCTCTGTCACTTCCATGACCCACACATAACTCTCCTTATTTGTTCTGCTGTGGCCACCCTAGCCTCTTGGCTCATTCCTAAACACTACGGGCATCTCTGCAGCCAATTTTTCTACTGCTCAGAACATTCTTGGCCCCAGTGTCTGCATGGCTCCCTGGGATTCTCACCAGTCTCTGCTTAAACACTACCTCATCAACCTAAATACAAAAGCCACCTTCCCCAAAAAGATCTCTATCCTCCAGCTCTCCTCATCCCCCATTTTGCTTCATTTTCTTCCACAGCACTTGCCACCTGATAGATTTTATTTATTTACTATCTTTGTCCCCAACTAGAATAAATATACTCTCCATGAAGACAAGGAATAGAAAAGCCAGGCACAAAATAAACAATCTAGGGACACTGAGGAGGAGGGGAGGGGAAGGAATGATACTCAGGGCATGTCAAATACCATTTATAAAGATTTTGGGGCTCGGCGCCTATAGCTCAACCGGCTAAGGCGC